GTATGGAGGAAGGCTTCTCTACCATGGAAATATCACATACAAGCAACTCTTTCAGACATTCTTCATCTTGGTATCAATAGGGAGAATTATAGCAGAGACTGGAAGCATGATTACGGATTTATCGAAGGGGACCAATGCATTACAATCAGTCTTTGCAATTTTGAAAAGAAATAGCAAGATGGACCCAGATAAGCCGGATGGGATCAGTCCAGTGAAGATAAATGGATATGTGGAGCTTAAAGAGGTCAATTTCTTTTATCCAGCTAGACCAAAACAGATGGTCCTTATGGGTCTATGCCTAAAGATTGATGCTGGAGACGTTGTTGCATTAGTGGGCACAAGTGGTTCTGGAAAATCAACAATCATCAGACTGATTGAGAGATTTTACGACCCATCAAAGGGGTCAGTGGAAGTGGATGGGACTGACATCAAAAAATACAATCTAAGAGCTCTAAGGTCACATATTGCATGGGTTAGTCAGGAGCCCACAATTTTTGCTGGAACAATCCATGAAAACATTGCATATGTGAAGGAGAATGCAACCGAAGCTGAGATTATTGAAGCTGCTACTCTAGCAAATGCCCATGAATTTATAAGGTCTCTCTCTCTCTCTCTCTCTCTCTCTCTCTCTCTCTGTGTCGTGTGTTTTGTTAGTGTCCATCTCTCTGTGTGTGTGAGCACACACGCTAATGAACTAAGTCAAAACCTGACAGTAATCCATAATTATTTGCAAAGCAGTTCAATGAAAGATGGATATGCAACCTACTGTGGAGAAAGAGGCGTGCAGCTATCAGGGGGCCAAAAACAAAGGTTAACTCTTGCTCGAGCAATTTTGAAAAATCCTGCCATATTACTTTTGGATGAGGCAACAAGTGCATTAGATGTTAAATCGGAGAACCTAGTACAAGAGGCACTGGAAAAGACAATGACGAATAGGACATGCGTGGTTGTAGCTCATCGACTATCCACAATTCAAAATTCTAATAAAATTTCAGTGATCGACAATGGAAGAATTGTAGAAGAGGGTTCTCATGGTGAGTTACTCGCAAAAGGAGAGCACAGTGTTTACTATTCACTTGTCAGGCTCCAACATCAAGCTGCCATGAAGTAGGGCAAAGATCATGGCTAAAAATTTTGAACCTGAGCGCAAAAAAATACTTTTACGCACTAAGCTACATATCAACATGAATAAGCTGCAAAGCTGGTGCAGCAGTTATTAAGAAACTATCTTAGTAGCTAGACTTCTTTAGTTTGAAGTGTATGTAGGCATGAACATAAGGGTGTATTGAATAGTGTGTTCCATGGTTACTTGCATTAGGTGTGATTTAGCATTTATCTACATGTTTTTACCAGAGCTTTATGTCCACTTGTATCTGGATACCTTTACACTACATTGAAAGAGTACAGGCTTGGAAATGGATCTGAGCTCATCAGTTTGAGTTCTCCAGTTCCCTTGACCACCTCCATCATGTTTGATCTCATCTCCACAACCAGTTCCAATGTGGAGTTGAAACACCATATTATGATGCCATTCGACAAACCCACTCCTTCATTACTAAAACCGCCATGGCAATCTCCATGGAAATGATCACAAGGCGCACCATAGCCACAATGCCATTTGAAAGGTTTTCTAGTATCTGCCTCTTCAGGGGTACCAGCACCATAGAATCAACTGTTGCCAAATGAATTCTTGATGTTGGCAGAGTCTGCATTGAAACCACCACGAAGATCATGCCCACATCCACCACCACAGCTTCTGCAATAAAACACACTATTAAACAAACACAAATACAAACACAATAATAACACACCAAAAAGCATACACACTAATCAGGATATACATCCACACCCTCACCCCGTGTTAACACACACAAATGTTCTGCAAACACACGTGCACACACACAAATAAAACAAAAAAATAAATCCAATAAAATACACTATTATAGAAACACAAACTAAAACATATGCCAAAAAACACACACGCACTATTCACACACACACTCTAATAACATAAAAATGTTTGATTTTACTGTATCCAAGACTAGTGCTACAAGTTAATGCCCTCGAGACTCTTTAAATACTTTAGGGATGAGCAAGAAAGGTAAATATTATTTAAGGCCTGTTTGGTCACAAAAGTGGGCAAAAGGAACCCGAAAATATGAATTTTGAATAACTGGACTAAACAGTTGGCAGGACTAGTCGACCTATTAATACTAGCATCCTAACCAATGGTCAGCCGAAGACTGGATATAATTCAAAAACCAATTATCTTTTCTTATTTGAAATCCCTTGAAATCTAAATCATAAGGTATAATTCAAAAACTACTCATTCCCCTTCACAAAGTCATTCAAACAAAAACTTTACATGTAGAAACATGAAGTAAATCATGCATGTTTTTCAAAACCACATACTCCCCAACCCCCTTATATATATGAAAATCAGATGACACGAAGTATTTAGGAGGTATTTTGAGCGAAAAAAAAAGAGGTCACCAAAACACAACAAGAGCCACTTACCAAAACAACATAGCTGTAGAGAAGACTTTGACGCCAATCACATTCCTTTTCACAAAAGGGCTTGAAAGCATCCTCTCTAAACACTTGGACGCAGATGGTAACTCGAATAAAAAAATTTCAGCTCCATTAAATGACACCTTTCAAATCTCAAGTACTTCTTCGCACTAACAATTGTCAAAAACTCCTTGAAAAAATTCATTTTAAGAATAAGAAGTCAAGAATATCCGGGGATTTTTCACCTTTCGGAGTTAACAAAACATTACTCGACTAAGTAAATGCTAAAAAGTGAGAACCATACAAAAACAAACAACAAAAACCCAAGACAAAGAAACGAAGTCGTTTGAACACAAGAACGAAACCCCAAGAATCCAATTTAATAGGAAAATATCAATTAATAACCCTAAAAAAAAAGGGAACAACAGATAACAAAAAATTTCAGAAATCTTTAATCCACTCACCTTTCAAACAAGTTAGGACCATTAGAGAAAGCAACAGATAAAGAAAGTCGAGCGAGCAGAATATCTCTATAAATAATTTGGCAATGGCGGCAGAACAGTTTCTTTCTAGGAGGAAAACCCTTGATCATTGGGCAAGGTGGTCCGCTTCAACGACCAGAGACCCTACGAAGAAGGCGAAGATCACTTCGTCCCCTATCGGAGATCAAATCCGATGGCCTTCGAACTCTCTATGAAGGCCAAGAGGTAGAATTTCTGGTTATTCATGAAGGTGAAAAGACCAAGGCCATCGATGTCACTGGGCCCAACGGAGCCCCCGTCGAAGAGGTGGATGTGGATATGGTAGGCGATGGTTATGGGTTTAATCGGAGGAACGATAATTGCTAAAGTGGCGGTCTCTATGAAGAAGGCGAAGATCTCTTCGTCACCCAATCGGAGATCAAATCCGACGGCCTTCGAACTCCTGTGAGAGACATAGAGAAGAGTTTGAGAGAGAGAGATTCAAAAATAGAGAGAGGCGGGGTATTTTTTTGGTTTGAACTTGGGAGGTATATATAGAGCGATTTTTTTAGGATGGGTGAACCTGATTAATGGGTCAGGGGCGGGTTTAACTGAATTACGTAGACCTTTAATGTTAATTAAATAAATATTTAATTATATCAAATCAACACTCTATTTACCAAATTAAGATACTATTTCATTAAATAAAAAAATTGTCATTCAATTTAACTTTCCTCAATTCAAAAAAAAAAAAATCTCGTCAACTTAACACTGAATTTTTAAATTAACATTCAATTTTATTAAATTAACATCAAATTAATATTTAATTTTATTAATTTAATATTTATTTCATCAAATTAAAATTATTTCACTAATTTAACAAGCCCCAAAAATGAGTGATCAAACAATCGAATCACTATGCGTATCTTGATGATTGTTACTCTTGAAACCAAATTACTATTCTATTTCATCAAATCAATAAGAAATTGACATTAACTTATATCAAATTAATTTTTAATTTTATCTACTCAACATTTTATTTTATTTAATTAATATTCAATTTTGCAAGTTAAAACCGGATTGAATATTTAATTGTATCAATTTAAAATTTAATTTTATCAAATTAACACCAATTAACCTTAATTTAATCAATCTAAAATTTAATTTCAATTTTAATTTTATCAAACAAAAGTTTTGGCCTTTCCTTTTGATCTTTTTTTTATGGTTGCCAGTTACCACATATTCGGTTTCAAGACTCTCTCTTCACTGTATTGCGGAGTATCGTGATGCTAGGGATCGTGGAAGCTCATCACATTGCACACCAGTTGTGACCATTTGTCGCGTTCGCATCCAAGAGACAATATGCATTTGGATTATAATTTGTTAGTTTTATTTAAGTTGTGTAGCATTTTCTTCCATTTTTAATTTCTTCTTTGGGGTTCAATTATTATTCTTAAATGTTATTTTTTGATATTGTATATTATACTTAAATGTTATTTGTGGGACCCTCGCGGTCAAATGTGTTGAGCTCAAATCGTGTGAATTTGTGTGTGTTAATTTGTGCATATTATGATAAAAAAAAACTAAGTTTTCTTGCATCGGTTGCTCCTCACCAAAGATTTGAGTATAATTGGCCTACTGCAAGTTCCTCTATAATAGGAATTGGTTTCAGAGTCCCTCTTTACCAAGTGTGTTGAGCTTAACCTTGTGAATTTGTGTGTGTTTGTTATGATCAAAAAAAATATATATATTGTATTTTATATTTTCCATTAATCAAAAATGTAGAAATTTTTGCATATTTTCTGTTATTTTGCTGATTTTATCACTTCCAAACTAACGGTAATAAATAAATAAAAACCAAATCTCCTACTAAAATCAATTTTTGGGTATCATAGTCCCATATCCTCTTCATTGTTTGGATGCATCTGGATGTTTGATGATCATGAAAATCTTGATGCAATAGTTGTGAAACAAAAGCAAAGCATTAAAGTTTCATATCACAAACAATCGCAATATGTGAGTGGGATGCTAGATCACTGGTACCTGTCATCACGCAAACGCAGCAATATTCATATTCAACATTACAAAACTATAGAAATATTGCCTCTACAAAATCTAAGAAAACAAGATGCACAAATGAATTCGAGTTTCAGACTTTAAAAAAAAAAAAAAACGATATATGGCTCTTCGAATTACACTTGGTAGGTGAAACCACGAATTGGATGATTTCGTTGAAGAAACTCGTTTAGAGCCTTTTAAGGGTTTTAATATAATCAATAGGTAATTCACCTCATTTATTTCGTATCTCGTCAACCGCACAAAGCATATCCCTACAAAGATTCTTATCAACCTTATTCTTTATGCGTTCATCATCGGAGAGCCATCTTGGAGGTGGTGGAGGATCAAAGAAGAGTCCAACACAATGCTCCATTCTTGATCGCTCATGGTCTCGACCGGTCATCGTTTCTCCTTTGTTTGATGCAGTTGGATTGTGAATCGAGAAGAAGAGTATGGTGGTGATGATCACGACAATGAAGTTGATGATCATATATATTCTTCTTGGAGTGTAGGAAGCCATGAATGATTGATAGGATGAATAGGGTTTCTAAATACAATGTTCATATATATATGAATAGGATACCGCGTAAATCCATTACAATCCTAAGCAATCAAGGAAATCTGATTCACGTGTATTAATTAATATAAAAACTTGTGTTCCAAACTTGTCTTCCAAGCTACTTGTAGAACATTCCTAGCAATCAAGTGTGCTCACTTGAATTTCTATTGGCGAGCCCAGAATTGGGTCGCCATCGTAGAGACGTAACCAAGTTGGCTGGCAATGAATTAATTCGATTTAGGTATCATTTTCTTTTTACAATTCATATGAGAATTATAAAACTCAAATTTGATCCCAAACTTCATTGTTATCTGATAATTTCAAAATAGTTTAATTCTTATTCAAATTATCGTATTGAAATTGAAATATATTTTTGTAAAATTTAGCTCTTGTATAATTATTTGGATTATAGATCGAATTTTATATTTTCAAATAATTTAGATATTAAATGTTATAAATAAGTTCGTTGGATAGTTTGATCTAATTCAGATCAATCAAAATTATATTCAAATATGACCGTGGACAGACCTCCTTACATCGTTAGAGGCTTATCAATAGATTAGATTCTAAGCAAAGATTAATATCCACACTACTATTACGCAGGGTCAAAAAAATAACACAAATAAGATATAAACAAAAAAGATATTTCTATTTCATTCTAGAAATAAAATACAATAATTTATACAAAAAATTGTCACTGAGATCTCTCCCGAATCTCTCTCCTTCTGTTTCTTCCTCACTAATCTTGAGCATGTCTAACCTTCACTAAACTTCCTATTTATAGGAAGTTTTCTGGGCAAAATAGTTAAGGAGGAAGGGAACACATTAAAGCTCCCGTAAGCTTTGTCAAAGCTTCAGCTGTCCAACTGCCTGGCCATTAAATAGGGTGGCTACTAGAGTGGGCTATAGACTGATGGAGCTGGAACTTGTTGGCTACTGTATAGGGTGGCTGGATCCTTCAATTCTCCCCCTCCAGAACCATCAGTATGGAATGTAATCAGACATTCATCCCGGCTATGTCTCTGCACAGCTTGAGTATATTTCGAGTAACGACCTTTGTCAAATTTGATTCTATTGGATTCTCTTTTGCGTTGATCTGTACTAGTTTCAATAACTGTTGCTCCATCACTTCGTGTATCCAATGATAGCGAATATCAATTAACACTAAAATTTTAAATTAATATTCAATTTCATTAAATTAACATTAAATTGATATTTAATTTTATTAATTTCATTAAATTAAATTTATTTCACTAATTTAACAAGCCCCACAAATGGATATCTTGATTGAATCATTATGCGTATCTTGATGATTGTTACTTTTGAAACCAAATTAATATTTAATTTTATCAAATTAACACGAAATTGACGTTAAGTTATATCAAATTAATTTTTAATTTTATCTAGCCAACATTTATTTTATTTATTTAATATTCAATTTTGCGAATTAAAACCGGATCGAATATTTAATTGTATCAATTTAAAATTTAATTTTATCAAATTAACACCAATTAACCTTAATTTTACCAATCTAAAATTTAATTTTAATTTATCAAACAAAAGTTTTGGCCTTTCCTTTTGATTTATTAAATGTCTTTTTTTATGGTTGCCTCTTATGAAGTATGGATATTTTGTTGAGGTTGATGTACCAGTATTGGATACAATATTTGTTAGATACTTGAAAATACGTATCGGATACACCTTCTACATATTAGATATACCTTCTACGTATCAATAAAATTAAATATTAGGATATTTCACGGATACTTTTGTAATCGAGCAACATTTATAGTTTTTGAGTTAAATTTTATCATCTTTTTTCGAATTCACATACCATATAATACATTAACAAAAATTCATATTACTTCAAATACACATAATTGTTTTTTAAGTATTCTCTATAATTACATATCAAAACAACATAAAATAAAGCTATTATATTATAATATTAACAAAAATTACTTCTAAATATTAGGTAAATATTAGCTTGATTTTTTTAATTAGTCACTTTACTTTGTGAATATACCATAATGATACGATATATATTTTCTTGAAATTAAAAAAAAATTACTAATTTTTTTTATTGTATTAAAGGACTACCAACATGAATAAGTATTAAACTGGTTGAAAATAATAAAAATAATAAAAATATTTTATTATAGTCGTATCGTGACTATACTTATATCCTATTTTTTTAGATTTTATCGTATCGCCGTATTTGTATCATATTGTACTTGTACCTCGAATCTTTATCTGTGATTCATATGTCGCCACATATTCAGTTTTCAGGACTCCCTATTCACTGTATTGTGGAGTATGGCGATGCTAAGGATCATGTAAGCTCATCACATTGCACTCCAGATGTGAATCATTTGTCAGCTTCGTATCTAAGAGATCACATGTATTTGAATTATAATTTTTTAATTTTATTTGATTTGTATCGCATTTTGCTCTATTTTTATTTTCTCCTTTAGGGTTCAATTATTATACTTAAAAATTATTTTTTGATATCATATTTTATATATTTTTCATTAATCAAAACACGTAGAAGTTCTTGCATATTTTCTGTTACTTCGCTGATTTCATTACTGTCAAAGTAATGGTAATAAATAAATAAAAACCAGTTCTCCGACTATAATCTACTTTTTGGAATCATCGTCCTGTATCCTCTTCATTGTTTGGATGTATCTGGATGTTTGATGATCATGAAAATCTTGATGTAATAGTTATGGAACAAAAGCAAAGCATTAACGTTTCATATCACAGCAATATTTATATTCAACATTACAAAACTATAGAAATATTGCCTCTATAAAATCTAAGAAAACAAGATGCACGAAGGAATTTGAGTTTCAGACTTTAAAAAAAAAAAAACGATATACGGCTCTTCAAATTACACTTGGTAGGTGAAACCACGAATTGGATGATTTTGTTGAAGAAACTCGTTTAGAGCCTTTGAGTTCTTCTTAAATCGAGGAACTTTTTTAAGGGCTTCAATATAATTCATAGGTAATTCACCCCATTTATTTCGTATCTCGCCAACCGCACGAAGCATATCCCTACAAAGATTCTTATCGACCTTATTCTTCATGTGTTCATCATCGGAGAGCCATCTTAGAGGTGGTGGAGGATCAAAGAAGAGTCCAACACAATGCTCCATTCTTGATCGCTCATGGTCTCGACCGGTCATCGTTTCTCCTTTGTTTGATGCAGTTGGATTGTGAATCGAGAAGAAGAATATGGTGGTGATGATCACGACAATGAAGTTGATGATCATATATATTCTTCTTGGAGTGTAGGAAGCCATGAATGATTGATAGGATGAATAGGGTTTCTAAATACAATGTTCATATATATAGAAAGCTAGCGAAGAGTTTTAGGGAAATTAAGCTAAAACATTTAGATCAAACTAGAATACCACGTGAATCCATTACAATCCTAGGCAAACAAGGAAATCTGGTTGACATGTATTAATAATATATACTTGTGTTCTATACTTGTCTTCCAAGTTGGGTGTAGAACCTTCCTAGTAATGCAACACCGCTAAGTGATACTACTGAGTGACTGGAGGCAGGTCCAATTCCAGCCAACGGATTCGCCACTTCTTTCATGATCGGAGGCTTAACAATACATTGGATTCTGAATGGTTTAAAATTCGATTTAGTTAAAATCTTTGATCCGAATTTGATTAGATATTATTTTATATTTACAATTCGTATGAAAATTTATTACAAAATTCAAATTCGATCTCAAACTTCATTATAATCTAACAATTTAAAATTAGTTTAATGTTATCATTTCAACTTATCAATTACACTTGGTAAGTAAAGTCATAAGTGGGATGACGTCGTTGAAAAAACACGTTCAAAGTCTTTGAATCCTTCTTAAATCAAGGAACTTTTTTTAGAGCTTCAATGTAATCAATGTGTAATTCGTCCCATTTTTTACATATCTCGACAACCATACGAAGTATGTCTCTATAAATATCTTGTCCACCTTATTCTTCACGCGTTTATCATCGGAGAGCCATTTTGGAGGCAATGAAGGATCAAAGAACAACCCAACACAATAATACTCCATTCTTGATGGCTCGTAGCCTCCGTCAATCAGTGTTTCTTCTTTATTTGATAAACTCAGACTGTGCAGTGAAAATAAGAGTATAGTGGTGATGATCACAACAATAAAATGGATGATCAAATATATTTTTCGTATATTATGGGAGGTCATGATTGAGTTCTATGATGAATAGGGTTTTTGAATACCCCAAGAGTTTTAGGGGTAAGGCAAAACATTTGAATTGAACTATGATAGCTCATGAATCTATTATAATCTTAGGCAAAGAAGAAAATCTGATGTACGTGTACCCATACTACCCTTCCAGAACCTTCCTGGTAATGCAATAAGTTAGCTCACGTAAATTGCTATCGGCGAGCCGAGAGACAAAGTAATCATTCCTTTCATCGTTGAAGGTTTTATTTGGACCTAAAAATTTGACATAATTTGTTGACTTAATGACGTAATTTCATTAGAACCATTGAATAAACACTAAGTTTCAATGTTTGATAGAGCCTACAATTAATCCAAAGGTCATAGTGAATTAGATCAACAAATTAAGTTTCAATAGCATTACTCTTTCAAAAGTGGTGCATTAAACATCTCGTAGTTTTATGGAACAAGTTTAATATTTCATATTTATATGTCATCCCTTGATTAATGCGTATTTTTTTTAGAAAATGATTTTATTTTTAAATTATATTTAATGCACTTTGATTCATGCATATTTTTTTTTTAAAAGTGATTTTATTTTCAAATTATATTAATATCCAAATAGTATAATAGCGTAATAATGTAACAATAACAGTATAACAAAATATTTACACAAAATATTATATTATTATATTTTGTCAACACATGTATTTTAATATAATTTCATTCAAAATAGTTCATCTACATTTTGAATTTGTTATCACATGCATAAAACAACTGAACACTGTTTTTGTTACAGTGTGTTGTTACACTGTCTTTGTTATAATATATTTGTTACACTATTTTTATTACATTATTATGGAGTTCGGATAGTAACAAATTTTAAAATTCAAACAAGTGATATATTCTAAAATAAACAGAATATTAAAATTCTTCTATAAAACTACTAATAGTAAATATTTAATGCATAAATATAATTTGAAAATAAAACACTTTCTTAAAAAAAAATACACATGAATCAATGTGCATTAAAGGTAAAAGATTTTAAATTAAATGACTCTAAATTTCAGTGCTTAATAAATGTCTTGTTAAAATTTTTATGAAATTTTTTTTTTCCAAAAATGGGTATTTACGTTTTTATATTTCAGTTGTGTATTTTTTTTCAAAATATTTTATTCTAATATTTTTTACAATTATGTCTAATTTAGTATACCAGCTTACAAAAAATCTTTGTTTTTATGTATAAAGCCCAAGTGATACTTTGAAGAAGTTGGGCTCATGCAGGATCGAACTACAGACCACCTTAAGTTCGTTCGGTTGCCATATACAAAAAAACAAAAAATTATATTAACTACGAGTTAATTTTATATAAACAAAAAAATATAAGATTAAATAAAAATAAATTTAATATTTAATATTTAATAAAACACTGAATAAAGATAAAATAATAAAATTTTAATTATATATTGAACAAAAAATTATCAATTTTGTTTAATAATTAATATTTTTAATTATTTGGTAGGTAAAATAATAAATTTATAACTTAATATGCTAAAATTAGATTATAATACTACCTCCGGATATTATAATTAGATCAATAGTAATAATAAAATTAATTATTTAAATAAATATTTAAAATAACATTATATAATATAAAATATTTTTATAATCAAATATAATATAAAATTAAATTAAAAATAATAATTTATTATGACTCGCTCTCTACCACTACCACTGAGCTCTACAAGAAATAGGGGGCTTCTTATTTCTTCACATACAGTCTCCCGTTTGCGGTTTCTCTCAATGGAAAACACTTTTGATCCGGTAAAAACCCTAATTTTCCCTGTTTAGATTCTTCAGTTTGTCATTGCATTATGAATAGTTTGAATCGGGTATAGAACTGAGAATTTTGTATCGTTTTATGTGCATTAACAGGATCTAATTCATGCGATTTTCAAATATGTATGGCGCAAAAGAGCTCTCGGTTCGATTTTCTTTCAAAATCTTCAAAATTGTTGGTTTTCCTATGTTAATTTTTTTTAATTGTGCTGTGTTGAGTTCACTGCAGAGCGTGAGAAAGACGAAGGTGCCGAGACTACGGAGGTTGAGGTACAATTCAATTGCTTCTCTACAATTTTTCGTTTCTCTTTTGTGATCTTTGATATGCTAACTCAACTTGTATTAGATGTAGAAATTACACTTAAAAAGGATGAATTTTTCTCAATTGTTGCTCGACCTGGCCATGAAATTTGCATTAAAGTCAATCAACCAGTTTATGTATCATATGTATACGTTCCTTAATGCTTCATTTGGTATGATGGAAAATGGAAGAATGAAAAATTAGAGGGTAGATAAAACATTATATTTGGTAAAGAAGTAAAATAAGAAGGATGACAAAGTAATGAATTAGCTTTTTTTTCAATTCACCAAAATTTATCCCTCCAAAATTGAGAGAAAATGTGAATAAAAAATTAATTATGTGTGTTGAAATGTATATTATTCACCTATATATTATTTAATATATGTATATATCACAGTTATTTATTACATATTGTATGCATTAATTTTATATATAAATATAATGATAAAATATGCATTTATATTTTTTCATCCTTCCACTTTTCCATTTAACCAAACGCAAAAAAATCAATCTTTCTTACTTTCCATTCCTCCTACCAAAGACAAAAGAGCGAAGGGAGGATTCCTCTGTTGAAGAATATAAAGTATATCACACTCACTTTCTATCCACCCAACCAAACACACCATTGGTGTATGTGTACATGTATGATTTATGTGAGTGTCAAACATTCTTGTTTGATCAGTATTGAATACCGTCTATTACATGTGCCTTAGTTGTTTCATTGTATTATATTAGTGACTGGCTGCAAGCTTGACTCTCTTTGCGTAAATTATTAGATATAACTATTGTTTAGGCTGCGAATTGTAATACTTGGCTTCTCGTTGTTACATTGGTGTAATAAAGGAAGTGGCCCTAGACATAGCTCATCGGCGGAATAGTATTTATTGGCAATCCAATTAGTTGGAACAAGATTTTGTTGGTTAATCTGAGTTCACTATGAATTTGTTTGCTTGGTAGGCTGGTACAGTTAAGACTGTTAATGTAACTCTACTTTTACACTACAGAGAATCTTTAGAATCTTTTTTTTAAATGAAGGTGTATAATTCCTTGGATGTCAGGGCAGTTACTGATTTTTGATTCCCCTATCTTCCCAAATGCACTTCTAAATTTCAGTTTTTGTCGGAGTTTTTTTCTTTCAGGGAAGAAATAGAAAGGAGGGAATGATGGCAAGACAGAGTATAAATTTCATTTGATCATCCTCTACTTTTTTTCCCCTCTTCTATTGGTATTACTTTGTATTTTCCGCATGATGAGCTGGAAAATTTGGTTCATGATGATGGAATAGTACCTAACTAGCCAACTACTTTTGTGGAAGTCCCACTCAAAACATTGCTCATTCTTGAACAGAGTGCATATTAGGAAACTTTTTGTTTCTTGGATATTCAAACACCGGAACTCCCTTCGCCACCATTCTGTTTCTAATTTTCATAATTATTGGAATTTCATGCAATTATGATGCTATTTATCAGTATTACTTGGAGTATGTTTCCTGAATCCTTTGTAAAACCATAAACCATTATATCTTTTCATTGTGTTTGAGCCTTGTTCATCTGCCCTTCTACTTATCCTTGTAGTGCCTTAGCTAAAATCAATTCACTGCATATAGATGCAGCAATTATCCTTCAATGCAAATGACCAGCCCATGTTTTAGACTACTTCTCTTCACTCTATCCTCAACTTGTGCTTCCCTTAGCTTCTTAGGAGTAAATAAGAGTATCATTTCTATTATTATCCTTTGTCTCTCTACCATCATCATTTAGGCGAGGCTTATTTACAGGCATGTTTTATATTCCCAAGTTTCCTCATTTAATAAGGTTCATCTTGTGTTTGTCTTGTGAACTTACCATCCTTTATATTGTCTTGTGTTTGTCTTGTGAACTTACCATCCTTTATATTGATATTGGATGGTAATGGTATGCTCAATTCTCCAATTGCACCAACCTACTGAATCCATATTGCTCCAATTTCATCGACAATGTTGTTTAATCTCTTCATTTCTTCGGTTTCTTGTACATATTGTTGATTCAAGATCAACATAATGGTTTGTGCTAAATTGTTCACAAACAACATACAAAACGATCTGTGTGTCAATGTGTTGTTGAAGGCAACAAACTGATCTAAGCATATTGTAATTGAACTTCACTTGTCTCTTATTTGTGTTAACCTCATCCTCACTGCTATAATTGTAGCCTTATCATATCATTCTGTCTAGCTAATATCCCATTCTTCAAAGCCGACTGCATCGTCTTTTATTTTGAAGCCATAATTTGACCTCTCAATTTTGAATGTCATGTCAGTGCTTTGTCAGGGTTATTTTGATCTTGCTCCCTCAAGTCTATTGGCTTGACTATTGATTGGTACTTATGTAATGCACTTTGGAAGTTGGCAAAGGTGTCTATCCTTACGCAGTCAATCATTTTCCTCTTAGTTTGTAAAAGAAATATTCTTTTCTGTTGCATTGGTATCTATTTGGCATTGTACCTTATCATTTTATGTGTATTGTCAATTAGCTATTAGATGGTCTATTGAAAATTACATTTCAGATGTTAATAATATTTAGGGGTGCAACTTGAGCGGGCCAACCCGAGCCCAACCCAAAAAATAGCTTGAGTTAGAATTTTTAATACTTGGGTTGGACTTGGACAAAAAACCTCAACTCGAATTGAATTTGGACAAGTCTCGGGTTATCGGGTTTAACCCGAATATTAAAATCGGGTTGAACCTGAATATACATAAATATATAAATATATTTAATTAGGGTTAGTATTTATCCTCATTATTTAAAGTCCTAACATTCACTTTACTTCAAATCTTCACCCCTGCGCCTCCATCACTCTTAGATCCCCTCTCATTCGTCACTCTTCCGTCTCTCAATCATCACTAGTCTTAGTCGTCTCAGCCTCCCTTTCTCACCCATTACTCGTCCCTCTCTCACTCCCTCTTTCTTCATCTGCGCTTCGCCCTTCATGTCAGGTCACTTGAAAAAATCAGATCTACAATTGAAAAAATTAAATCTACGCTTCAAAAAATCAACCAGAATTACGTAATCCAAGTCCAACCCAATTTTTAACTCGAAATCAGCCCAAATTCAACCCGATCCCATCCGAATTAAACTCAGGCAATATTCGAGTTGAGTTAGGGTCAGAGTTAGAGTTGAAGATTATATATCTTGGGCTAGGATTGATCTCTCAACTCGCCCGATTTGCACCCCTAGTAATATTCACCAGTTAGTGAGGTTCTTAATGGGTTGGGAGGAGCCACTATGTGAATGCATCAAATGTTGGACACATGATGGATTAATGTCAGGTTTTTTTTTTAGGTTTTTTTTTTTTTTTTTTTTTTTTGGGGGGGGGGGGGTTATTTCAACTATTCTCTTTATTTCTGAGTTTGCCATATGCTTGATGGTTTCCAGATATTTGATTTTGCAGGTAGGAGCTGGAACATCTAAGAAACATCGGCCTACCTCTGGTACGAAAAATAAAAAACTTTGCAGAAAGATTTCCTATGCTAGAAAGTCTGCAAGCTTTAAGTATGATATATCTTTGATATTTCTAGGTTTTTTGCTCTTTTGTTATATAAATGGTTCAATAATGTAGGATTCACAATTTCACGTTCACCAAATGTATTGTATTCCACAAAAATTTCCACATATTTTTTAAGTTTCTTGTACTACAACTGTATGTAAGTGTTTTTGATTTCGTGCTTCCATTACTTTGTTTTGTATCGCAGTGGCCAGTTTCATTAACATTTATTATTTTAAATATGTTACACGGAGATCTTCATGCTGCAAGTTTAATGCTTTGGTAATATTAGATCACTATTAGATATCGGTAGGATCCCAAATAAATTGTGTTTTCCCTTTCACTTTGTGGTTTGCTATTCATTGCCACGAGGATAAGTATCTAAAGTGGGGATTTTTATAAGCACCTTTTTTATTGTAATTCTTTCTTCTTTGTACATTGATGCAGCTAATGCAAATGCAGTAAAGCTGAGCTGTGAACTTCTTAGAGTCTTTGTCACAGGTTTTCCTGTTGAAAATAAAATTGATGATCTTGTTAGTTTTTGCATTGTACCTCAAACTCTTGATAGCTTATATTGTTGTTAATATTGACGTAGAGGCTATTCAACGTGCTGCTACTATTGCTGAAGCTGAGGGTGTTAATAAAATAGAAGCAACTCATCTGGAGAGGATTCTTCCCCAGTTACTTTTAGATTTTTGAGGTACTCCAATAATAGTTGTATCAGTCACTCCATTGGTTTACAATTGTTAGACTTTTGTGACATAGGTAGTTTCTTTATTCCTTTTAACATGTTAAGATTTTTGATTTAGAATCAGTGATTTTGCAATACTATAATATTTTGTGACTTAATTTTGGTCGAGAATCTCTATTAGGATAGTTAATTCATCCAAGTGTTTTCCCCTGGAAGGTACTGCACCCCAACTGGTCTTGTGGAAGATGGATTTTATTGCTTACCAACTGGTCTTGTGGAAGACTTTGATCATTTTACAAGTCTTTGAAATCTTTCCATATGAAAGAAATCATGATTGTTAATAACTTGCTTCCTTGTTCACCATGTGATTGTATGCATGCAAATGGAAGTCATTGGTGTCCTGTGTATCTCCTGTGACATGTGGCACCTGTATTACGCATCTTCAAAATCTCGTGTAATACCACAGAAATTGCAATTAGAGGGGAAACTGAGTTGAAAAACACAAAACCCATATTCTGTAAGAAGGTAAAAAGATTAAAGCATGCTGAAAGTATGTCAAACTTGATTTGTTGCAACTTCCATAGCATTTCCCAATGCCTGGTAACAGGAGGCTTTGTCATGGCAAGCTTTAGAGTCTGAAGCACAGAATCAGCCTGAGTGACTGTAGTTTGGTGGTTTTTTCTATTGAAAATTCACAGAAAAACGACAGATCCCGTGCAGCCCCTTTTTTGCAAGGAATTCTAAATTCTGGGGCAACATTTGTTTAATAAGTTAGAAGACCCAAACCTGGGACCAAATTCCAGTCCTCGACTTGTGGCTACATTTTGCAAGACTTCCCTATTTCTAATTCAAATGCAGAATAGTGTACTCTTACAGGAGGCTGAAAAGCTTATGAGGGAGCCAACCATGAAAATGCTTTCAAAACCAAACACTAAGTGGACAACATTGTTTACTACAGTGGAATCAAGTTATATTTGCCTAAAAACTTTAGGAGGTGCTAGCATATGTCATGATTTGTCATTTAACGCTTGAGATTTTCATTTACTGACCTCTCTCTCCACTTTGATAAACACTTGATTGGGGCATAGCCATTCATGTCTCATTATAAATTATGTTAGACGGTTTTTCATGGTGGGAATTCGGAAGTTTTTCTCTTTGATTTTTATTGGTCCTTAGGTTGTTCCTCAGATTTATTACATGGCAGCTGCTTGTAAGGGCATTGCACATTTCTTACAAGGAAAGAAGATCGCTGCTGTAACAAAGTCTCTTCATACACTTTGAGTTTGCCCGTCAAATGGTCCATAGGAGTAGGATGGAACTGCATCTTATGAGCAACAGGCTGACAATCTCTAGTAGAACAATACTGCAAGAGAACTGAATTGGACGAAGAGTCCTTCCACATCTTGCGGGATATTTGTCACATGGCATCTACTTGTATGTATTTCTCAATTGTAATAATTTCTTAGGGCATATGTATTTGTGGCTCACCAAGCTGCTCAAGCTGAAAGAACAGGGGATAGTATGTTGAGTTGTAATGATGATCAGGAATATCAGTGTTACATAGTTCTCAAAAACGGATTGTTACTCGGAAGTTGGCATTTTACTTCTTTTCTCCCTTTGTGCCTCTTGGCTCAAGTTTTTCAGGCCTTTTTTTTAATGTGAATATAGTTTATTCTGCCTTTTGAGTGCAGGCCTTCACTTAGTAGTCGTGTTATTCCATTTTGACTGGGTGATGAATTTGCATCACAGAAATAGTGTCTGCACATGCGGAGTAAGTTTACGTGCATTTGACTCTAGGCAAACATCCCAGACCTGGGCTTGATGATTCTTTATGCTTAGTGATCTACAAAACTCCTGTGATCTTACATGCAATATCCTTGTGTGCGAACTGTTGGAAGTGCTGTCAAATTAGGAGTTCATAGCTGGTGGGAGCTTGGTGTGGGCTGCGCTTTATGGATTATTCTGCCTTACAAGAAGATGATGTTTGAGGCCTAGCCGTAGACAAAGTTTAAGAAAGGAGTCTATGCACAAGAGATGATAATCAATCAGGAAATGCCATTTTCATCAAATATAAGGGTACATGACAGTTTGGTACTACTGAGAATCACATGCTTTTGCAGCTTTGAGGTACAATTTTTATGCTGGAGAGAAAATTCTTAATCACATACATCATTATTCTTAAACAGTTATTCAATGTTCCCATCATATCTGATTCTGGATCTGAGACAACATACACCTGACATCCTTGCTGTTAGGCCTCTCTTTTGGATTATCAAGAGTGCAAAAGCAAGCAATTTTCAGCACCAGAAGCATCTGCTCTTCATATCCATTTCCAATCAGCTTTGGATCAATTGCTCTATTTGGATCCTCAGAAGTCATCACATTTCTCAGCCATTTCACCAGACTCATCTCTGTTGTGTGCTGGAAAAAGTCATCTGAGGGAAGCTTGCCCGTCACCAACACCCCTAGCAACACCCCAAAGCTGTATATATCGCACTTGTCTGTGAACTTCAGCGTCTGGTGATACTCCGGTGCTATGTATCCCACCGTTCCAGCCACGTTGGAAGTCGTGACGTGTGTCAGAGCATCCGGGACTGATTTTGCAAGTCCAAAATCTGCAATTCGAGCTTCCATGTCATCGTCAAGAAGAATGTTTGCTGGTTTGAGATCCCTGTGAATTATACGCGGCGAATTGTTCATGTGGAGATGCTCAAGTCCTGCTGCAACACCCAGTGCTATCCGGTGCCTTGCCAGCCAATCCAGTTCTCTATTCCCTAGCGAAACTTGGTGGAGCATATCTTGTAAGCTGCCATTCTTCATGAATTCATACACAAGGTAATGGCATTTCGGTCGTGACACATGGGCTAGTAGAGGAAGTAGATTCCGGTGTCGAATCCGACCCACAGTTTGAATTTCTGATTTAATCTGACGCATTTTCTTGTTCATAAGCTTGCTATCTTCTTCGGTTAACTCCTCAGCATCCTTGGGTGGTTGAATTATCTTCTTGATAGCGATCATCTTTCCGTTACTTCCTGGTAACTCTGCCTTGTAAACTTCGCCGCACCCGCCTCGTCCAATGATTTCAAGGGATGCCAATCCATCTTCTTTCTCCAGGAAATCCAAGTCCTCGGCTTTCTTGATCAGAGGACTGTAAATTGCTGGACCCGGTTCCTTCTCTACGCCCTTAAACAAGACGAATAGTAGCTTGAAAAGCACTGAAAACACCAACCCGGAAATAGTCCCGGCAAATCCTCCGGTTAGGAATCCAAGGATCCATGCGCCTACCTTCTTCTTCTTCTTCTTCTTCTTATGTTCAGGTGGCGTCGCAGTGGGTGAAGGAGCTTCAGCAGTGTTTGAAGGCGCCATTGCTGAAGTTTGATTGCTTCTGGTTGAATTTTCAGCTAAAATGTAACGTTTTGGAACAGTGTTCTTTGCCTTCAACTCTGATGATGAATACTCGATATTGTTCATCACTGGCACTGGACCTTCAAGGAAACTATTTCCAGAAATGTTGAAGAAACGAAGATTGCGAAAAGATTTCAATGATGGAGGGACTTTTCCGACGAACATATTATCGGCAAGTGAGAGTTTTTCCAGGTTGGGAAAATATTTCAAGCAATTTAGATTCCCGGAAAACTTGTTGGAAGAAAGGTCAACGACTCGAAGACGGATTAGTGATGATAAGTCAGAAGGAACTTCGCCGGAAAATCGGTTGTTATGGAGATTTAGAATCTCCAATTTACGGCAATCAACTATTTGAGGTGGGATTTGATTGACGAGATGGTTGTTAGGAAGAGAGAGCTCTTTGAGCTCCGACAATTTTCCGATTACCGGGGATAAAACTCCTCGGAGCTGCCGGGATTTGAGAACAATACGAGTCACTTTGAGGGTGTATGAATTGTTGAAAATCCTCCTTTCACAGAATACTCCGGCGAAGTTGCATGGTGGGTTTCGAACATGGTGTTGACCATTGAAGCCCAACTCTTTTTGAATGATTAACAGAGCTTCATGATCTGAAGGGTCAAGATTTAGCTTTGAATGAACAAGAAGGATTAGAGTGAAGAAAGAGATGAGAGAGAGGTGGGATTGGCCAGCCATGGCGACCATTAGCGGCAGTTTCCGGTGCGTCTCGGAGGCCGGAGCACACACGGTCTGCGAAATGGTGCGTGGGCGGAAGGGTGGGTGGGTTGCTGGACTTTGAAGGGGTTGTGTGTGAATTATAGAAGAACAACGTGCTGTGGTGGCTGTGGAAATATTGGGCTGTGGGCCCATGCATAGCTAATATTTTTTCCAAGTGCCAGCTTGGAATTTTTTATTCTGCCAAAATTGATTTTATTATTATCTTTGTTTTTTAAAATTAGGATGATCAATAAAGGAAAAATTGCAATCATACTTGAGGTTTATCAATTAATCATCAAGATTCTTTAAATAGGTCTCTAAATAAGATCCTAAAATAATATAATAGTTACATTAAAATTACATTATTAGGTCTGTAAATAAGATTCTCTAAATAAAGTCTTTATAGCATTGCTCTATTGAAAATATCATATACAGATTCTATGAGGTTAACACATAAATTCTTGTTGTTAATGTTCGTTAATATATTTATTAGTAAATTATATTTAGGAATTTGAAATTTGAAGCGTGTAATATTTAGACCACTTAAGTTTAAAATATTATATTTAGATCTAAAATATTTCAATTAAAGGTAAAATTTCAAATATTTTAAATTTTATAATCAAAATTTATGTTATATTATGTCATTTATTTCAAATTTTGTTTTTTTAAAAAAATCATATTAGTATTGTTTATGCTAAAATTTGAATGACCTCTATGTCAATTTATTGGATTTTGATCACTTGAACGAGAAGTTGGAGACTGAAGGGTAATTTTGGGAGTCAATTCTTCGATGCCTAAGTCAATAAATAACTCAAAGGTATGAACTGCATTTAGAAGTTATGAGTTGCATAACTGGCCTAAATGAACTTTTTATTTTAGGTCAATTTTTTCATCATCACGTACGGAGATATAAAATAAATCTAATCAATATATTTGTATGTTCCATTATATCATCCAATTTTTTTTTAAAAAAATAGTAATCAATATAAATATCAAAGAACTCAATGCAACACTTATTTGCATATAATTATACTATCTATTGAAATCAAACAAATGGTTAAACTGTAATGAATATAATATTTTCCATATTTAATTGGGGTAATTTGGTCATTAAATAGATTCTGTTTGTTTTCGTAACTAATAAGAGGTGTAAGTATAATATTTTAAATTTTAAAAGTTTAAGTATTACACGTCTATAAACTTCAAAGAGCTTAGTGTAATTTACTAATGAAATATATTAACGGACATTGACAACAAGGTTTCATTGTTACGCGCGTACAAATTTTAATAGGTCTGCATATAATATTTTCAATATTAAGGAGCCTAAGTAATTAAGTGAAAAATTTAAAAAATTTGAATGTAATTTTCCTTAAAACACGTATTATGGACAAGAATACCCTAATGGATATATATAATGGATTTGTGTGGTGTACCACCAAATTTGTATTAACTCCATTACATGGGTTTGCTCGATCAATAAGATCAAATTTATATACACTATGCTTTTGTCGAGTTTGTAGTTATGTTAAAATTATCAATCCTTTTGTCTAAAAAAAAATAAATATCAACCCTTACTGTTATAATTATATATTGTAAAACTTAAGGCAAGAAAGTCTTATTCTAACATTTTTAAAATCCGGGCCCACTTTCTAAAACACTCGGAAGCAGGTGCAACGTATCTTTTTTAGAGAATGACTTAATATTTTTTTGATTATTCTTTAAATTCGTGTTTATATCTAGTCTAATGAATTTTATATTTACTGTTAGTTACCTGATAGGGTGTGGACAATACTACCCCTGGCAATTTTATAATTGTATTGCAACGACAAGAAATTGTTTATTTTAGTTTTTAAAACTGGAAAGCAAAAGCATTTGGGTGTTTTGGCATCAGGGAAGCTTCTCCGAAGTCTTCGGGTCAACCCGGTTGGATGTTTTTAAGCTGGTCAAGTTCAACGTAATGTATTCTGGTCTTTGATCTATTTTTGACCGCTGGATCCATTAATCTTCCACACAACCGATATTTTAATAAAATCATAACTTCACAGGAAAATTCAAGTATTAATAAATATGAGCTGCAAACCCACTTAAACATCTTGAGTTTAAATCTTTGTAACCCATTAGAGTCAAGCTATTAGGAATTTATCGCTCATGAATATCTTATTTTTCACGTGAATGACCTGTCTTTGACTGAAAAAGAGATTAGTAAAGGTGCGTATAAGTTAATTTGAACATTTTGACCGTTAAATAAAAAAAAAAAAAGTCCCTACTAACATATGATTACGAAAACTTTTACAGTGTCACTAGCGATATCGGTACCGGAAATTATAATTTTTTAAGTTTAAGTTATAATTTTTTTGATGTGTAAAATTACAATTTCAAAGGACAAATTCGAATATAAAATATTGGGGTCGATACTACATTTTTCATGTTCGATCATGAATGTTTGTGATCCATCATAATCTTTTTTTGAACATATATAACTTCTCATTTCAAAATTATAATTTTATCATAAAAAATAATAACAAATTTTTTTTTTTGGGGCTTCGCAGAGTTTTCCCATGGTTACACACCTGAAAACATTGGAGAATATTCAACTATTACTCCCAGCAGTTAGGCTGCAAATCAGGTGTTATCTAATGGCCAACAATGGAAAGTATTGTAATAGGGAGTATTGTAATAGGGAGGAGAAATGAGTTGCGTCATATTTTTAAATTTTTATTAAAATTCAATCTATTTTATTATTTTTTCAAATGACTTGATAGTAATATGACGTATTAGATTTTTTG